GATTTTCAGGGGCACGAAGAAGAAGCATTAGAGCTTCTAATGCAAATCGACAGTTGTAGACAAAGTAGAAGGATGGAATCAGATTCAGAAATCAAAAAGAACAGATTTAAAGGTAAGAAAGAGTTGAAAGATCTAGTTTCTTTTGATGTCAAGTTCAGAAGTAATGGAAAAAGAAGTAGGGGGAACATTCTGCCAATTGTTGAATTATGCTGATTAATTTAGTATCATGGAATGTCAGGGGTTTGAACGATTTGGCTAAGAGGAGGATTATAAAAAGTTTGGCGAGGGAGTGGAAGGCAGATATTATATGCTTTCAAGAAACAAAATTAGAGGGGGATATAAAGGAGGTTATTAGTCAGGTTTGGGGAGGGAGATGGGGTGAGGTATGCATGTTTGGAAACCAGTGGTACTAGAGGGGGTATTGCAATGTTATGGGATTGTAGAGTTGCGAAGGTGAGGTGTTACAAATAGGAGCTTATACTCTGACATGTAAATTCAAGTCTTGCGCAAAATTTCGCATGTCATATTACAGGAGTATATGCTCCTAATTGTGACATTGAGAGGAAACCTGTATCGGGGGAAATGGGGGCAGTAAGAGGATTGATGGAAGGGCCATGGGCTGTTTGTGGTGACTTCAATGTCACTAGATTTCCCTCGGAAAAAAGGAGCTATGGTGGAGTTCTCAGATTTTATCGAAGGCATGGAACTTATTGATCTCCAATTAGAAGGGGGAACTTATTGCCCGTTTGGCCAAGCTTCTAAAAACACCTTATTTTGAGAAGTGCTTTTCTCAAAAGTACTTTTTAAAAAAGTGCTTTTGGTGAGAAGTAGTTTGTGTTGGGCTAATTAATTTGAAAAGCACTTTTGAGCAGTAATTAGTGTTTGGCCAAGCTTTTGAAAACTGATTCTAAGTGTATTTTTCTCAAGAGTGCTTCTCAGAAAAGTGCTTTTGGAGAGAAGCTACTTTTTTCTGCTTCTGCTTCTCCTCAAAAGCACTTTTTTTCCTTCCAAAAGCTTGGCCAAACACCTCAATTTTTGGCCAAAAGTGCTTTTGGCCAAAAAAAGCACTTTTGACCCAAAAAAAGCTTGGCCAAACAGGCTATCATACTTGGTTCAAAGGAGATAATCAGATAATAGCATCCAGAATTGACAGAATCTTAATTTCAGAAGATTGGGATGATAGATTCAGGAACATAAAACAAGTAGTCCTACAAAGGCTGATTTCAGACCATGTTCCTATCTCACTACAGTGTGGGTCTTGGGAGCAAACCAAATCCTACTTTAAGTTTGATAACTGATAGTTGAATACTGAAGGCTTTGTAGACGGGATCAGAGAATGGTGGACCTCTTTTGGATTTCACTGGAGGCCAGATTATGTGTTAGCATGCAAACTCAAAGCTTTAAAAGGCAAACTCAGAGAATGGAGCAAAAGTAGCCGAGGAAACTTGGGGGCTCAAAGAACCGAGCTTCTAAAACATTTGGCAGTCTTTGATGCCATTCAAGATACAAGAGCATTGACTGAGGAGGAATCAGTGAGGAAGGCTTCTACCCTCATGGAATATGAGGTACATCTGAAAAATGAAAAAGCTGCCTGGAGGCAAAGATCTAGGGCTCTGTGGCTTAAGGAAGGAGACAGGAACACTAAGTTTTTTCACCAAACTGCTAATGCGTGTAAAAGATGCAACAACATTGATCAACCAGTGGTGAATGATGAAACAATTGAGGAACCAAGGAGAATCAAGCTTGAGATCATCGAATTCTACAAGAATCTTTATTCAGAAATAATGGAATGGAGACCTTGAAGTCAATTTCGACAACTGCCCCACAATATCAGAAAAAGAAAAAGAGCTTTTACAAAGCAACTTTGAAGAACAAGAAGTGCTATCTTATTTGAAGCTATGTGCAGTAGATAAGGCTCCAGGGCCTGATGGATACACTATGGGTTTCTTCATCAAATGTTGGGACATTTTGAAACAAGATATCATGGACGCTCTCCATAATTTCCATTCTCAGGAACTGTTTGAAAGAAGTTTCAATGCAACATACATAGCCTTGATTCCTAAGAAGATTGGAGCCAAAGAACTCAGGGACTTCAGGCCTATAAGCTTAAATAGGCAGCTTTTATAAGCTGCTTTCGAAGATTCTAACAGAGAGACTCAAAAGGGTGATTAACAAATTGGTGGATGCACATCAGATGGCTTTTATCAAAGGAAGACAAATAATGGATGTTGTTCTAATAGCAAATGAAGCAGTAGATTCAAGAAACAAACTAAAAAACCAGGAATTTTGTGCAAACTAGACATTGAGAAGGCATATGATCATGTGAATTGGAGATTCTTGTTGAAAATGCTGGAACTAATGGGCTTTGGGAAGAAATGGATCAACTGGATGAGAGCTTGCACATCTTTAGTTAAATTCTCCATTCTCATTAATGGATCCCCAGAAGGTTTCTTCCCTGCACACAGAGGGCTCAGGCAAGGAGATCCCCTATCTCCTTTTCTCTTCATAATTGCTATGGAGGGGTTGAACAATATGATCAAAACTGCAAAAATCAATGGATGGATCAAAGGGTTCGACGTAGCAAGAAGGGGCAACAACAATCTGGAGATTACACATCTCCAATATGCTGACGACACTCTAATTTTTTGTGATGCAAAAGAAGAACAATTGAGGTATTTGAGAATCATCCTGGTCTTGTTTGAAGGTACTTCAGGATTGCATATCAATTGGGAAAAGAGTCATCTGTATCCAATCAATGATGTGCCTGAGATGAGCAACTATCACTGATTTTGGGAGGTGTAGTAGGATCTCTTCCTGCTATCTATCTGGGCATGCCTTTAGGTGCTAAGTCCAAGTCCAAGGAGATATGGAATACAGTCATTGAAAAATGTGAGAAGAAGTTATCCAGATGGAAAGCTCAGTATCTTTCTATGGAAGGAAGATTGATTCTTATCAATTCAGTACTTGACTCACTTCCTACATACATGATGTTACTCTTTCTCATCCCTGTAAGTGTTATTCAGAGACTGGATAATCTCAGAAGATCTTTCCTTTGGCAAGGAAACAAAGAAAAGAAGGGGTATCACCTAGTGAAATGGAAATCTCTGACGATTGGCAAAACAAAGGTGGGCTAGGCATCGGAAATTTAAAAAATCAAAACAAGGCTCTTAAGATGAAGTGGTTATGGAGATTCTCTCAAGAACCTCAATCCTTATGGAGTAATGTCATCAAAGCTAAGTATGGAGAGGAAAACAACTGGGTTTCAAAGGACGTCAATACAACATATGGGGTTAGTCTATGGAGATCCATCAGAACACTCTGGCCTATAGTGAAGAGCCAATCATGCATCAGAGTGAAGAGTGGTACCAAAACTTCTTTCTGGAAGGATAATTGGATGGGATCTGAAGCTTGATGGAACTATTTCCTGATATGTATGGTCTAGCTCAACACCAGCAAGAGACAATAGTTGAAATGTGGACCCCTCAAGGTTGGGATCTGATACTTAGAAGAAGGCTGAATGACTGGGAGCTGACGAGGTTGACTGAACGTTACAAGCAACTGGAAGCACTCAAAGGCCTTCAAAATGGTAGGGATGCACTATGGTGGAAGGGCCACAACAGAGGAATCTACAAAGTAAATGAGGCTTACAAGATGCTTAATCATACTAATGTACAGATCACTATCTGGCCATGGAAACACATCTGGAAAGTTAAGATACCTTACAAGGTATCTTGTTTCACGTGGTTACTTGCAAAGGAGGCAGTCTTGACCCAGGATAATCTTATGAAGAGAGGGATCCCATTGTGCTCTAGGTATATTTTATGTGGGGAAACAGTTGAGACAGTTAGCCATCTATTTCTACACTGCAGGATCACATATCAACTATGGAAGATATTCATTAACCTCAGAGGTATTTCATGGACAATGCCCTCTAAGATTACTGAAGTGCTCACTAGTTGGGATGAAGCTGGAACTGGAGCTGGAAGCAGAGATAGATGGAGGACTATCCCCGCATGTATATGGTGGACAATATGCAAGGAGAGAAACTCTAGATGTTTTGAGGATAGTAGTAATTCAATACAGAAGATCAAAATGAATTGTGTCCTTTTTTATTTTTGGTGTAAACAAAAGTGGCCAGAAGATACTGTATCGATCCTAGAAGTCCTAGAACACTGCTAGGATTGTAGTATATCATTTTGCATATCATAAATATGGTTTCAGTACAACCTATGTACTGTTATGTATCAATACACACAAATGTTACCTTCTAAAAAAAAAAAGGATGGTCCATTCCTCTAAGAAAAAACCTCAATGAGTGGGGACTCAAGGACTACATGCAGTTGATAATGCCCTCCTCTTACTCCCATCCCTGGCAACATATTCTGGAAACCCCACGCTAACGAACTTTTCTCGGTTAAAAGTTGTAATAACTCCATCACTATTTCCTGCTTGACTCCTCGACCTCGGAAAGCAATCTAGAACAGCCATGCCCCTTGTAAGGTCAAATATTTCCCTTGGAATTGTAGCTTATGGGAAATGCCTCAATCTTGATAATGTTCTAACGAAGGAATATTCATTATGTACTGGTGCTCTCTTTGCAAGAATGAAGAAGACGCAAACCATTTATTCCTTCATCGCAAAGTCTCTTCCCGCATCTAGAACTTCATTTTTAACATCTTATCCACAATTCATGCCAAGATCTACTTTGGATTTCCTCCTAGCTTGGCATAAAAAATGATTGACTAAAGCTTCTTCCAAATTTTGGAATTCCATCTCCGCCGCTTTGGAAGGAAAGAAATGCTAGAGTTTCTTAAGACAAAGGACAATGTAATTAAGCTTAAATTCAGTTGTATATCCTTTTTTTAGTTTTGGTGAAATATGGGTACAGCAAACTCATTAAATAAAAAGGGGCTTCCAAACAAAATCAAGGAACTAAACAACTATGCGAACATTTCATATTTTGTAAGAAAAAAGAAATGAGAAGCCATTAACATACTGACTTGAATTATATCATCCTCCAAAATGTCCTTCCCCGTCATTCTATTGTCCAAGATGGCTGGAAAGCAAATTTGTAAACTGTGATTTAAAAGGAAAATCATAACTAACAATTATCGGGGAAGCTTGAAAACGTCAAGATCATATGTTCTTCCCATATGAAACACAATATGCAATAGTTACACCTATGACATACAAGTCATGCGAATCTAAAACCCATTCAATATGATAACTATCCCGCGACAGCAAAAGTGCATTTTAAGTTAAAGCTTCAAGAATGTGGTAACTAAACTTAAGAAGCCACGACCGACTACTTATTGTCTGCTTGATATGTTCTTTAGGCCTTCATCCACACAACAATTCAACTTATAACACTTTATGAGTGCCCAATGAGAGAACTCGTTGGATCAGAAAAATGACAGATGACTGGCAGACATACATAGAGGGAGAGAAAGAGAAATGAGTGAACCTAGTTGAAGATACGTATTCACCTTTGATGTTGCTAAATACCAAAAAAATGCAATTGGTATACCACCTACCAAAAGAATGAGATGAATAGATATGAAAGAACCTTCAAAGGAAGACCTTTCCTCTTTTTTTTTTGATAGGTCCAAAACAAGGATCTTTCCTTCAATTAATAGAACCGAACAAAATGCAGCTCTTCACCCGTACAAACCTATTCTTTGAATTGCCAAATGCCAATCACAGACAAAAGATCAATGCACATTGTACAGGGCCTAAGTCTTCATCTAACAATATTTTACTAGCTACACGATTTAGAAATATCGGGAATAGGATTGAGGGGGGGTTTTGGGGGGGGTTTCTAGTCCTAAAGGGGAGGGGTCTAAGGTAATGTCTTGGGAGGAAATGGCGGCAGTTATGGGGAGTGAAATATCCCATGTATACATGGGGATTGTAACACCATTACAGTCCCGGAAGAGAAAGTGAACTGTAGGGTGTTGTCAAGGGCAATGGAGGAGTTCTCGGCGTTTATTGAAAACCATTTTCTTATTGATCTTCCTTTAACAAATGCTTCTTTCATTTGGACTAGGTTGGAGGATTCTACATCCAGATTGAGACTTGATACATTTCTAGTGTCTACAATCTAGGAGCAGTCAGCCCCGACTGTAATACAGATTCCTTTCGAGGTTGACATCAGACCATTCACCTATCATGCAGGATAGAAAAAGAAGTACGAGAACTCCTTTTAGATTTGAGAACATGCAATTAAAAGCAGCAGAGCAAACTTTAATGAGAAAATGGTTGGATGATGCAGTAGCTACAATGGTGGGAGGCCCGTCTTCCAAGCCAGGAAAGGAGTTGAAGTTGCTCAAAAAAGATATAGAGGTGTGGAACAAGGAGGTTCTAGGAAGGGTAGAGGTGAAGACGAGACAATTAATGAATAAGATGAGAGATTCAGAAAGGGAAGAGGAGGGGAAGCAGTTGGAGGAGCGGGAGAGAGAGAATAGGGAGTTTGAAGAGGGAGCTAGCCTCTTTGACATTAGCCCAAGAGACTAGTTGGAGAAATTAAGTTTCTATTTTAAGGATAGATACTCTCAAATTTAAGGACCCTTTGTATTAAAACTCACTCTTTTACAACTACCATATGCATACAGGGAGAGCGTGCCAAGAGTTCTAGTTCTAGTTAAAGCTTCTAGATATGACTATTAATCTATCATACTAGGAGTTCATGTCTTCCATTCTTCAATGGATAAAAATGATTCATTCACTTAACTTAGAAAATATAAACGATAAGATTATTAAGATGGAAAAAACAGTCACACAACTAACAATAAGCTGGAAATAAACTTACCTCGAATCAATCTATTGGCCATTCTCTGATACTCCTCTTGATTCTCTGCTCCAACTTGATCCGAACTAGAAGTCGAAACAGGCCACCATTTTGGCAACTTCTCCACCGAGCTCTTCTTCCTTCGCCTCCTCGAAAACCTAATTCGACTTCCCCAGTCCCAATTGCTGTTTCTGTCTTCACTATCCAACACATTTGGTTTCTTCCTATAAACTGTCTCATTTTTGGCAACAAGTACTTCTTTTCCACCCAAACTACGGTCTCTTTTATACACTAATTCAACGTTGTTGTTTCGTTCGTTGTTCATTCGTAACCCTAGAACTAGAAGCTTAAAAATAGCCCTAAGAGTGAAAATAACTACGAAACTGGTAATTACTAGAGTACCTAGGAATTGAACGGTGGACCTTCTGCAGGAGAACAGAACTCTACCGTTATTGCTATCTATACGGATGAGAGTTTGCAAGTCTTTAATGGCGGCTCGGCTAGAGTCGACGAATTCGCTGAGCTTCGAATCGAGAAGGTCCTTGACTGAGTACAAGGATTTGGTAGGTAAATCATCGACGGTGAGAATGAAGTGGAGGCTTTGATCGGTCGGGGGAGGAGAGGTGGTGTCTTCGGTGAGATTAGGATAGAACTTTTTAAGGAGACGGCGGCGCAGATGGCGGCGACGGGGAGGAGAGGGGGAAACTCGTCGGGAAATGACGTAGTGACGGTGGTGGTGGAAGGAACTACATCGCTCTGTAGAAGTGAAGTGAATGGACCTGGAGGGTGAGATATACAGAGAGAGGTTCATGGCATTTGTGTTAAAGTGCAATTGCAGGGAGCTGCTGTATTACTTGACATGCCAATACATTAACAAAAAAAAACATGCCAATACAAAAACATGAGAATGAGACAAAAACAAACACAAGCCAAACGCCTCTTTGCAGTTTGGATTGTGTTAGTAGAATATTATGTTTCTCTTTTATACGTCCTTAATAAATATTAATTAATTAGACTATTATATTTTTATTTGTATCTTAAGCTATAATCTTTTTTTATTAAATATTTATTTTATTTTTATATTATCTTTATCTTCAAAAATAATTATTACTAAGGGTAAAAAAGAAAAAAATAATTAATTTTATCTTGAACTTCTAAAATAACAAATAATTTAAAATAACTATTTTTAATAATTACGACTGTTAATATGAGATGAAGGGGTAGCTTTTAAGGGAATGCTTTGCATATAAGCAAAATAGAATAAGTGCATGTTTGACACATTCATTGAAAATAAAAATAAATTTGAAAAAATAAATAATGACTTCTTAGTCTCCTAAAGTGACAAAGTGTCTGACCAATATTAAGCAAGATAAAGGTACAAACCCAACCACTATATTGCACAATATCATACTTATCCATGTCCATGTTGCGAAGCAATCTTAATTTGTACTATCATATAGAGCAACTTAGAAAAATTAAGACAAAATTACAGAATAATGCACTCCATAAGTTAAGCTTGCACTATTTTAGCCCAGTTACAAGTTTGCAAATGTCTAGCCAAATATCAATAAGATCTTTTCTTTTCTCATTCCCTCTAATTATAATAACCTCATTTATTCCTACCTACCCCTATTATAGCTCTCTCCTCATTTTTCACCCATAAATATTTAATTTAATTAATGAAAAAGAATTATATGCAAACAAAACTGAAAAGAAAAATCGGTTCCCCATTCAGTCAACACTCATTCGTGCCTTCTTCCATAACCAATACTTCTCTGTTTTTTTAAAAAAAATTTGTATATCTTCAGGTTTATACATACCTATCACAACTGCAAAACGCAAAAACAGACGCGAGAAACCTAAAATTTCATCTCCTTTAATGCTAATCTTGTTAAATTTCGGCTATGATTTTGTGAGAAATTTGGAGTGGGTATTGTTTGAACTTATTAGAAATAGTCTAAGTAGGTTGTATACAAAGTTTGAAGTTATTTGCTGGAGATTTGGACTAAGTTTTATACAAGAATTGCAAGTGAACAAAAATTTCGTCAGCGATGCTTATACATATTTATACAATGTTATACACTTTTATACAAAGAGGTACAGTATGTATATAATTGTATAAAAGTGTATAAAGATGTATAATCACAGAGTGAAAGTATTCTTGATACACTATGTATATAGGTGTATAAGAAGAATGAGAAGAAGAAGAAGAAGAAAATACGAGAAATTCACCAAATGCCTGTAAAAAATGTATCAACCTTGGATATAATAGTGTATAAGCTGTGTTTATACACTATATACTATTTATACAATATTATATATTATTATACAAAGGAATCCTATCAATGGAGCTTCACGTGTTCTTCTTCTTCTTCCTTGGGCATCCTCTGAAATTTAACTCAAATATAGCCTAAATCTACTCCAAATCACTTGGAATTAAATTTTTGAACTTATCTTAATGATTCCAATCAATTGAGACAACACCCATTCCAAACAATTAACAAATCGGAAAACTAAATTTTTGAAATTTAACTCAAATATAGCCTCAATCAACTCCAAATCACTTGAAATTTGAGTTTTGAACTCATCTTAATTACTCCAATCAATTGAGACAACACTCATTCCAAATAACTAACAAATCGGAAAACTTAATTTCTGAAATCGAATCTTCGAACCACTTGTAATGATGACTTTTATTTTTCAAATCCTTAGTTAACCATTGAAATCCGGAAAAGAATTGAAGGAGAATAACAATAGTAGAGAAATTTTGTGGTGCAAAGGCTGACATGGAAAGGAGAAGAAGAACGAAGAAAAAAGGGATGGGCTAACCGGTAAAAATTAATTTTCAGATTATGTACAACCTGGGCTATATTGGGTAAGGGCTTCAAACATAGCCATTTTCTGATGGGTTGTTGGGCCAAGTGACAAGGGATGTAATTCTCCCAAAAATATAACGTGAGCTTAAATAAAGAAAAATCAAACTTTCATATTGTTGTACTATGCCTAACATGCTTTCCTAAGCCGAGGGTCTATTAGAAACAACCTCTCTATTCTTATAAAGTAGGGGTAAGGTCTGGGTACATACTACACTCCCCAGACCTCACGGTATGGCATAATACTAGGTATGTTGTTATTGTTTTCTTGAGCCGAGCGTCTATTGAAAACAACCTCTTTATCCTTATAAAGTAGGGGTAAGGTCTGGGCATACACTACACTCCCCAGACCCCACGGTGTGAGATAATACTGAATATGTTGTTGTTGTACTATGCCTAACAGTTGAAGCCTCTTTACAAAGAGGATATCAACGTGATATATATAACTAATTTGGTTGTCCAATCAACCAGAAAGATTGATCAACCTACAAACTCTGCCCGAACAGTGTCCATTGGATAGACAAAAGATTAGACTCCTAAAGACCCAATATTGTCATTTACGTGCAAACTTCACTTGAACAACTGAATATTTCACGTGGCCATTCAGTTAAAAGAACAGACTGGAATTTGAGCATAAAATACGACCTGTCCAAGTGAAAGACCGGATAACTATGCATTAATGCCCATACACATATGTATTACGAGAAGAACTAACAAGGATGGCAATTCAAGAATCATTCAACAATTTGCTTGAAATTAAAAAATGAAAAATAAACTGCAATGGTGAATCTCGCCTTCTTAATTTGACTACGTTATAGGCACATTATATCCAAATTCGGAGATTTTCATGAGGCAGAGATGAGCATAATTTAACACAGATGGGAAACTACCAATATTTTGAACCATCGTCTGCCTTTTAAACCAGGATAAACCAACATCCTTCTTGAAAATAAACATCACAAATTCTATGGCACAGTTCTATCATCAAAATTCACTTGATTACAAGAATGTATGAAAGAATTGATATCTGTCAACTGTTTACAAGAAAATCAATATGTAACACTACATGTCTTTTTGTAAGTGGTATGTAACTTATACAACGTCCATCACACGTATTTGTATTGCAGGAGAACTATATTGCTGTTGCCTACCTAAAACTCCTTCATCAACATATAGTCCTCTCCAGATGAAAGACCCGTGAAGCACAGAGGGATTGACCAAATTTTGGAGAGAAGAAAAGAGAAACAGCAGAACATTCTTCTTTATTTCTTCTGGATATTAATCTGAATGACCTCATATTCTACACTCCCTGTAAATGCTCACCACAAAATGCCCTAGAAATGACCTACAATAACAATTTTCTGGTAAGCAGCTTGTATTCACAGAAGAAAAAGGTCTAATAACAATAAAATAAGCACCATATGAGATCAGGAATTGCAGATGAACAAATACTAAGACATGCAGGATAAAGTTCTCATGTTAATCTGGTGGTACATGATGCACTTTAACTGTGAATCATTCAATATAGTTGCAATCTGACAACGTCTACGACATCATACTTTCTTGGTATCTATATCTATGTCTCATCAATATCATTGCTAACTGAAAGCAGCATTATCTACTGTACTCAACTTCAGATTTATTTGATATAAACAGTTCCTTAATACGTATAAAATAATATAAAAATTACTGGCATCAGTTGGTCGTCAAATTATTTATTCTTCTTGTTTAGTTCTTTTCATACATATCAAAATAAAAAGAAAAACAGGATGATAAATAATTCCATGAGATGACCGAGGTACCAACCAAACTACCCTAGTCTTCTTTTTAGTCCTCCAACATGCTTCGCAGCTCTCCAAGTTCGCGAATAAGAAGTGCAACCAAGAGACATCCATAAATCATAAAAACTCTGAAAATGGTCTTAATTTATGTGTATCGAAGTTAAAAACTTGGATCAGAAAGTATAGAGACACTAGCAGACTTACAGTTCAAATAACTTCATCTTGGAAGAAGTGGCTGTCTTTCATCAGGTCCTACTAGATGACTAGCCTGGAAAAGAAATTAATATGAATTCTGTATTAGGAAATACAGTGAAAACTCGGCATCTAAATTTCTGATAAATAAATCCATACCTCCTCATTTGCTCCTGCTGCCATATTTACGAAGGATGAATCTTTAGAGCTGAAAAACAACAGAAAAGGGAAGTATTAACAGATGCATCTTTTTAAACTTTGGAGGTGAGTAAGGGGTACGAGGGGGTGAACATGCATCTCTGTGATGTACACCTAAATTTTTTAGCATTTAGTTCAGATCCATCTTTTAATAGATGAATTTGATGTTATGGTTGGCACTTGGCAAATAGCAGGTAAAGCTTTCTGGCTAACTCAAAGCAAGGGAAAAAAAGACTTGCACAATTGAGGTCTCACGAAGTAGTTAACAGCCTAAAAACAGAAGTTATTTGAATGCTTCTGTACACAGTATGGCCAATGCCAATCATCACCTAATAATAGTAATTGAAGTATGGCTTGTTGTCTTAGTAAGTGAAGCTGGGACATATCTTGCATGGCAAAGGACCTTATGCCAATAATAACTTGTAACTTTTTTTTTAATTATTTTGAGAAAAAGGGCCATCATTCGTTATATCAAGCAACAAGGAGATAATATTTGCAGAAATAGGAAAAAAAAAGAGAGAGAAGCAGCCCTTCAGCTATGCAGGGAGCTATCAATCCATACACATTCTCTAAATTGGATACATCTGAACTCTGACACTTAAAAGTAAAAAAAAAATTAACGACAAGAGTACTTCAATGATATGATATAAACTTAAATTACACGATATAAGTCGTATCACAGAGAAACTTTCAGTGCTATTTTGCCCTCTTGGGTGGAGTAGCAGCTGAATTAGGTGCAGAACTACATCCGCTATAAGAGGCTATAGTTGGAGTAGTATCATGTTACTCTACTCATTCCACCAGACAAACATATTAAACGAACAGACATACCAGGAGCAAGCCATCACAACCTACTTCCTATCACATACTCGGTGTGCATATATAAGAACGAAAATAGGATACAGAAAGCATTACTCTAAGAACTAGTAGCTGACAAGGAAAGACAAGTTACAGCTGAGACATAATTCTACATTATACTTAACCGGTAAAGTAAGTACCTATGCTTCTCCCCGACATCAATCAACTCCAATGTCCCATTTTGTTGGTCATCTTTAACTTTTGCAAGAGGTGAAAAGAACTGAAGTATCAAAGTTATATGGTCAGTCCAAAGAGAAAATGGGAAAATATCAAAGGGACAACTCTCTCAATTTTAGTACCTGGTGCATTGAGATGAAAACAACAGAAATCCCAAGAAGAAAGTTTATGGTCAGTGTATGACCAAACAACAAAGCAGATGCTATGCCTGTAAATATCGTTGCAACGGTCGACGAATACTTCTTCAGAATCGTATCTGGTATAAACAAATTGTGTTATTGAGTAGAATACCATAAAAGAAAATTTTCTTGTTAAAAGTAGGAGATGGCTTAGAGCTTAATACAAAGATAATATAATCCCATTAATGGAGGATATGATGAGCCAAAAAGAAAGGGTGGAGCATATTGAGTAGATAATCTCACCAGCATATTTGAAAAAAAAGGAAGACAGAATTCCTTGTGCCGCGTTGTTAACAATTAGAAGCATTGTTGCCTTTGAATGCCCCTCAAATATATCCAAGCTACTAGGACCTGAAAAATTCAGAAGAAACATTTCAAGGGCTGGAGAAATATTGTCCAACAAAGGCCTTGCTCTGAAGTAAGATCATTTTTCGATTGGTAGTCTGAAGTAGGATTGGCTTCATCCATGATCTCATATGTTGCCACTTCAATTCTTATCAAAAAAAAAAATGTTGCCACTTCAATTACCTCTACGGAAAAACCAGCATGGGATTTTGTTTACCACAATTTTCCTAATGTATTTCAGAGAAGTTTTTTAAAACAAGGGCAGAACTTTTGCACTGGTTACAAACATAGACATATATGTCATCATGAGGTTCCCTATAACCACTCCTATCAAAGTAGATATATACACCTGATTGCTTCCCTAACTATAAAACTTTGTATTTACCATTAAGAGATTTACTAGTATGATTTGTCTAAGAGGTAATATGATTTTGCAACCACTATGTTGGTTAGTAATATGATTTTCAACCACTATGATATTAACGCTTAGTAATATGATTTACACCATGAGAGAGTAATGTCATTTGCAATTTTGCAGGTTTTCTTTGGCAGTACATTCTAATCCAGGGCAGGTGTAATAATATGGTATATATAACTGTAACAGTTACTTGAAGATAAAACATGAAAGCAAGGATCTAAGCACTATAATGAGATTAAAATAGCAAAGTAACAATGTCGGTGAACTCAGTAACCTCAAGAGCATTTTTATTTAAGTCAGTTATTATTTGCCTTGTCATGTGCCAAATTTTGATTTCTAGGAAAACCCTCAGAATCACACCATTACCTTTAAATATAGCAATCCCAAGAATTGCGAGAAAGTTGAATATAGCACCATATCCATAGAGAAATAAGTTCTGCAAGTTAAACAGTAACATGTCAGATGGTTCAGGAAGAGGGCACTGATAGAAGCCACGTCCACCCTTTATGAATAGAGAAATTCGCATAATCTATATTGCTCGAGAGACAAGATCTGACATGCATCAACTGAAAAGAAATGCTCGAAGTCTCAAACATTGTAGTAAACTGGCACTCAATAAGTACTTAAGTACAGGTATATAAAAATGTTATGTCCACTCAAACGTAACAATCGTCCCGCGAAAGAAGGCAGAGGAAAATAATGAGCCAAGCTAACCACAGATCATTCTGCTGATAAATAAATAAGAGAAATGATAACCAACCATGGTGAAGTTACCTGGAGATAAATGCTAGTGTCATATTGACTCTTCAAAGCATACTCATTGAATACTGAGGCCATAGAAGGAACAGTTACCTGTGTGAAAAACCCTTCTTTAGCCAGTATCTTAAATGATGTCCAAGGGTTCACTAACGCCTCTTCAAATAACAGAACAAAAATGAATTGGTAGTAGAAGCTTTTAATTACTTACAAAAATCAGTGTATAGATGTATGCAATTGTGGTAACTGGAAGAGCCAAAGAAGTGGTGCCTTCAGGAATCGATCGAAGTTGATTAATGCTAATCCCAATTAGCAACAGAGCAAGAGCCTCCCACTGTACCATAATAAGTCCTATTATATGGGTATACAACTTCTATCATCCTGCAAGAAGTTACACAGGATGCTTCGCTCCTTCCTGCCTTCACAATCAATATTGCAACACCAGCTTATTTTACTAGTTTGAAACCACTAACCTGAATTATGGAAAATCGTCGTTTCATGATAAATTTCAAAAGCACGGCAATAACCAGAACCTGCACTTTGTCAACAAAGAAACAAATATTATAAAAATTAAAGAAAAGTTCTACCGGAGCATAATATCCAAGAAAGTATTCTGAGACATATCCTTTTGCTGGTATATAATAGTGAAACCAAGATACTCATCAATTGATATGTAAAGTCTCAGGTATCGAAAAGAAATAACCACCTTAATAAATTTTTTGGCTTTATGTAATATTCAAGGAGAGAGAAAAGTGAACAAAAAAGAGTAGTCATTTTTTCGGCCATGTAAAAAGGATTCAGACAGATACCTTTAGACATTCTAGAATAGATGCTAAAAGAACTTTCTTTCACTAGATTACCCAATAAAGGAATAGCAGACTAGTTGAGTCCGACCCTTGTGCATAATATTATCTTGGAGAAAATTTATAACCACCTCAAAAATTCCTAAGAGAACTTAAATATAGCACTTTATGGATGCTCCAAGCTTTTCCATGTTTTACTGAAGGGAACAAGGGAAAGATTAACATGATTATAACAGAAACCAAATTACTAGAAGCATTCTTCCTTTTACCACTAACAAAAGAAAAATATGCATATGAAAATCTAGCAATTATGAGATATCTAGTTTTTCTCTAAAGTCCAGTCACGAGTAGATTTATTCATAATATCAAAGGAAGATTTAACCACCTGCTAAAGACTGCAAGCTGTTTCGAAAGAGTACCACACAGACTATCAGCCCATATTGCTTAAAATTTCAAGAAGATATATAGTGATTTACACTGGAAGCCTCCATAATACAGATTAAATGGGAGCAATTTCAGAATCTAATCAGGATAGATTTGGATCAAGAAACAATGGCGATAACAATAACGCTTCAACCCAAACTAGCTGGTGATATATTGGATGCAAGTTGATCTAAATTTAGGCTTAATCCAAAGTTGGCTGAATTCAGGGATGAAGTTGGATTGTGCTAATTTGAATTTACCTACACTGTATTTATGACGGAATAGGTTTACTGTTGATCATCTTGAACTGCGAATCCATGATTCAGACTAAACTCAATCACAGCCAAATGATAATTTAGAATACATATGAGCTCTTGATATTACATCACTTTGTCCAGTCAAATATTTATTTATCACAATTTGTGATTAAATATAATTAGATCAATAATAATTATAAATTAAGATAAAAAAATTATAATTGTAACTTTTTTTATATATCAGCTAATCGACGGATCAGCATGAGATTGTCAAGAATGAAACTCCTGATGCCCCTGATGATGGAGACTTGAAGAAGTATAGAATAAATCAAATAGAAGGCTCATTCGTAGATCAGCATAAAATTATTAATCCAATCCAAGATGAGTAACCGAGTTCTTCTTCCTATGGTTGGCACTAACACATGCATTGCTAGTACACTTATTGGCATTCCATACTAAGTCAGTGAAGTAGCACAAATGCTGGTATTATTGGTACAGCAATAAAAAATGACAATGGAACACCTGTCTATTGATACCAAAATTAGTACCGTAATTATTCTAACGATACCCTTGATACATAGCTTCATGTTTGAGATCAAATACGCGACTAACTAATCTGGAATAACCAAAATGTAGGGGATTGTGCAAAAGAAAGAAAAGCAATCAGTGTCAGTAAAGCAATTGAAGAATTCAGCAGAAAATCAGCAAAAAACAATCAGATGATACGTTGTAGCAGTGGTCAACTATAGCAGTTACCTTCAGATTGCTTAGCATCTTCACAGTTGCTGGGTTGAAATATAACTGTACAAAAATATTAGAGGGAACATGTCAAGAAAAAGGAGAACTGTGGTAAAAGAAAATCCCCAGTGTATAGTCTGGTAGCTAGCAAGCTAGGACTTAAAGATTATATTGAACAGTGAAAAGATCTTAATAGGAGTAGAACAGTCAATCAAATATATATACATGACTCAGTATCTTCAAAACCAAACATCAAATCAAGTTTTATAGAGGTGTCTCAATAACTGTTAAAGCAAATGGGGACATAGGGCAAAGAATCCATTAACCAAAACAGAGTTATGAAAGATGAATTTAATTCTCCGTTTACATCTTAGCCATAAGCAGAAAGAGTTAAGACTGTCACTTGTCTCCTACAGCACCATGGCATGGCAAGTCTACACATGCCAGACCTTCACCCAGTAGGGCATCTAAACAATGGTAATTGGTTCTTCAGCAGCCTCTCTTATTTGGAATTTTTAGTCGTGCTAAGGACAAAGCGACAGCCAGCAGGAAGTATTGCGCACAGAAGCATTCTTGCAAAACCAGAATAGTCCTCTGATTTGTTGAGTATTAGTTATTAAGAAATAACAATCTCTATGGAATCATCACTACTGAAGCAGAATTCAAGATTTGTTATTTTGAGGCAAAAATCCAACTCCCTAGCCCAGAAGTCATTATGTAATCCTAGAAATTAGTACTGGATATATCCCAAGTTTTGAGACAAACAGTAAAGTTCGAGACAGCAACTCTTCTCATGCCAGACCTGTTATTCTCGATGAATGAATGGGTGAAACTAGACACTATTCCAACTTTCTAGTAATGTACAGTACAAGAAAAAACGTAGAGACAAAATGTGCCATGCTGGACGAAATAACAAAACAATGGGAATAATCACTCAGAGAACTGACAAGAACAGCAACAAATAGTACCTGCATGATGAACTTTAGGTAGTTATTTATGGCATAGAGTAGTGCTGGTACAGCAAGAAGCACATTGTTTCGTGCAGCCTGAAGAAAATATAAAATGGTCATGAGAAATTATCAAGTAATAGTAAGCCTGTTAAATGTTAGTAGCATGTTTGTACAAAAAATACAATGGACGACTAACTAATGAATGCATGTCAAGCCAGTAAGATTTCAGTCACACAGAACAGATATCAAGCAGTCAACATAGAATCTGAAAGCTATACAAACTGACAACATATTTCAATTCTCGAAGAAGCTGAAATAGATTGGTGCAAAGTAGCGGTTTTAATAGAATGGTGAAGGAAAACAAAAGTTAACCAGGATGCAGATAAGAATTAGTCAATTTTAAGATGCAACTGACACTGCAACAAAGAAAAGTGGAAGCTTTCATGCAGTCAACAATCTAGAAGGAATCAGAAGTCTTCGGTTCTATTATAAGTCAAAACTTTCATAAATTGACACCGGGCCGGTGTCAAAAGTATGTACAAACTGTTTCTTTGACTCAACCGGAGCTATTCACTGGCATTTATCAAGTTGCCAACTACATACACAACTGTGAAGGTAACAACTGGAGGTCTTTCAACAAGTATGCTACACTTTTCCTTTCTTTTTCCTCCCCACCCCTCACTGACTCAGTCTCGTTGTTTGTGGACCTTAGGTCACATTAGAAGCTTAAGAAAGAGGAAAACCAGTATTTGCAAGCATCAATTAGTAACTTAAAGGATGTTTCCATTTCACATCAGACGAACTGACAAGTGAAACAAAAGGAACAAAACTAGGTAAAAAGGTTGAAGTTTTCTTTTTCCAGCCAAGTGTGCAAACTTGAATTATCTTTGGGAGAAAACCAAAACTCATACAAAACTTGGCAGCTTGAAACTATGTAGAAATATGAAGAGGGCCCAACTCCCGAGCTCGGTCCACGAAAACTTAGCTATGATAAAACATGGCAGTTTGAGACTATGTAGAAATATGAGAAGGTTCCAACTTCCGAGCTTGGTCCAAATTATATCAATGTTAGGCATGTCTTTTGCAGTTGTCCCAATAAAACTATACTTTGACAATACTAAAAGAGTTTAAGCGTCTCTGGATCAACTCAGTGTCTTCATCCTTATTCTCCACATTATGGATCAACTCAGTGTCGTCATCCTTATTCACCACGTTATGTTTATTCTTTTTTCCTTTTCTGTAGATAATATTCAATACTTTAGAGCCTGGGATGTTGTTATGAAGAGAGGTAGAACTCACAGCAATATATTGATCCTTCTGTGGAATGAATAAATGAGGGCATCCTGATATGCAACTAGAATTGTAGGATTTCTTGAAGTTTCTTCTCAGTAGACTATACCCAGTGAAGAGAAGCATTTAGTTCGTTTATCCAATATAAACTATATACAGCATGCCAGGCACCTTTTGTTTACTGCATGATATCATTAGCAGCTCTTCACGATGTGAATTCCCGTAAGACCACTAATTCGATCTTTCTTAACACTTTATATGCTTGAAGGCCCAATCTGTTTGCATCAAGCTCAAATTTCCTTCCTGCACGTGTGGCCCCCAACTGGGAGCTTTGCCTAACTCTATTGGAGGTGTGGTAAAAAGTTTACAACTCATGATATCTTTCTTCTTTGCAGGTTCATACACATAATTTGAATTGATGATTGGCTGTTTCGGGCTGTCTGCACCCAAAAGCGACAACTCATTTGTCCCTTTGTCCAAGACAATCATCCAGGCTAGGCATCTTCCTCATCTTTAATGACATACATATGGTAGGTTAATCATGTAAGAAGAGGACTCAACTGAGAGACTGGCTCCTCAGATACTGCATCACTTGCAAACTTTATACTATAATAAAGAACAAATGCAAGAATGATGATATTACATGGACATGATGAGCAATAAAGAACTAAGAGCAGTTACAACACTCACATCAATAACATTTTACCTGTACAAATGTGGATATTGAAAGAAGTGGCTTTTCTCCAACTTTTTGATGCCTGGCCTACAGAAACAATCCAACAAGACATATAAATTGAGCTTTCTAAAAGAAAATATATGAAGAAAATATTATGAGTAAAACCAAAAACATAAATAAAGTGTACCTGGATTAAAAGCATTAGTATTGCAAAGACGACCTTTGTCGCCTCCGTCAAGAAGTTGACACTTACGGGACTAAACTTGAATTTTCCGTCCACTTTTGACATAAATACTAAAACAGGCTGAAAACGGAAATAAATACTGAGTGAGACTTATGTCTTTCTCATAATTAAGCAGAAACTTTGAATGCCTTGCTGATAACAGCAAGTGACTATAGATATGTGATAACAGCAATAAGTTAACTACATTCAATAGAAAAGCAGAAATTTTTAACAAGTACCAAATAACGGTGATTGTTTGGGAAAGGAGCACAATCCACACGAATTCAAGTAGCTTAATAAGTTTCCAGTTTACACATAAGATATTATCATTTGCATGCAAAAAAACAAAACTTTTTTTGAGCTCTAAAAAGAAGATGAGTTAACAGTTAACATGTGAAGAGGGCCGCTACCTGTAAACCAACCAGCATACAATCTCCTACAACCAAAAGGACATTAAGAGCACGCTGCTTTGATGAAATCTTGCTTCTGTGTCGATCATATGCCCTTGAAATAGTTTTTACAGTTGGAGAAACAAGCTTGGAATGACAGACAGCGCATTCTGCCATACCGTTCTTCATGAGTCAACTGCTTAATATTTCAGATTTAAAGAAATTTCACCTAAATACAAGAAACATTGTGAGTACAAAAACCACCATATATTAGAATAAACATTGAAAGGGCAAACAAGAAAATAAAGTAAGGCAACATCGTGAGAAAAAATTCTGTTAGTTCTACTTGTCAGATATCTTTAAAATATCAGGAATGAAGGATCATATAGCTCACCTTCATCTTTCTAAGACTATTTCATTTACCATTCACTAAAATAGTCAGCTCAAACAGCTTAAGCACATCAAATGAAATACATGCACAGGTCATCCAGATCTTAAATATTCTCAACCTTTTTAACTAACTACAATCCAATCCAAACTGCAACTGCTGCATATAAAGACCCATATTACATGGATCATTCATTCCCCTTGACATACCCTGTGTCAAATCGGTGTAATTAGGATGTGGTTACTTAATGCATATTCAACTTGATGTATTAGTAATGGTATGCACACACCTATAATGGATACATACCCATAAATGAATCCATGTAACATAGACAGAGATAACCACACATGAAACATTACTATGACGAAGCCATATAACCAATCCACTAACCAATGGTCTACAGCTGGTGACTCAACTGCAACTAAATAGAAAAGCTAAATCATGACACTGACAACATCATCTGCATACATACATAGTATATAAAGGGCAGTGCCCAGTAAGTAACTTACTGAACAAAATGCACTTGTTCTTTTGCAATTTTTACTGAATGAAGTTATTCAGCAGTATAAACCCTCACTTAACCTCTCTCTGGTATCAAAATCAGAGATCAACCAAATCACTTTTAACGCAAAATTTATGGAAATTAATTTAATAGATCTCACTATAAAACCAGTAAAAAAAATCACATCTTTTTGCATGACAACAACTTTCATATCCAGATAGTATTGAATTCGACACAGATCAAGCATGTAACATCCATTTTAATTAACAAAAGCCAATAAAATGTAACATCTCAACGTATTTCGAATAGATCTACATCTCAATCTTTTTTTAACAAAATTCAACATTGCTCATAAACAAAAAAACAAAACAAAAAAAACTGACCTGTGAAAGAAGTGATTTAAACGGAGTTAGAGTATGTATAATTTCTTGGCGGGAACTGTCTGCCGGAAGACAAAATTTTCCGGCGAGATCCAGAGAACTCCGACCGACTTCAGCTGAGACAACTAGTAAGGACTGGAAACGTGGGCAATTGTGTAATTGGAGAAGTGGGAAATTTAGGAAAATTTCTGAAAGAGTTTGTTTGTTTTAAGATGCGGGGAATATGCAGGGGAGAGAAGAAGGGAGTTGGAAAGGGGCAATGAATTTAATTTTTAAGTTTTATTTTTAATTTAATTGAATAAAGGCAGCCACATTCATTTGGTGTTTAAGTTTCTCTATCACTTTGCTTCAATAGTAAAACATAACAGGTGTGAAGTTCTTGTCACATAGTAGGTCTTTCATTTTTCAACATGAGTGAATTTCATTTTCAAATTCTTCTCCAACCCAACAAACATTCTACACCATCATTGCTTTTAGGGGAATTCATCTATCAAAATATGTGGAGCTTTAAATTAAATAATAATTACTCATATTGTAAATTTTATTTTATGATTCATCTTTCAAAAGATACTTAATTTCAAATTAAACGTAATAAAAATTGTCCAAGTCAACTTAACTAAACATGTAACAAAATAGGAAATTTTACACCCTATAAAAAACCTTAGTACCCTATTTATTTTAAATAAATACCATTTTAAAATATTATATCCTATAAATACCTTTTATCCTTTATAGCAAAATATCTAATTATAGTTACATCCTACATTTAAGGCACCATATATGCTAAATAATATTTTTTTCTCTCCTTTTTAGTATTTTCTCTCACATAATCACCGTATATGTGCTCTAACCACGTTCTCTCTCTTTTTGCATACACTTTACTCTCTTCTCCCACAAACCCACGTTTCATAACTCTTCTCCCACCCAAATTCTCTATTTCTCCGCCATTATCAATCCAACATTCAAAATCTAGCTAAAATCACTGTTTTACTGCCGATTTGTATACTCCTGGTAAGTTTACTTCTTCGATTTTGATATCCTTATTTTGTTTCTAAAATTTTCATACCGATTTTAGTTTGTTTCTGAAACAATAACCATTGGTATTGTTTACTCACCAGGAAGCTTTGGTTTTTCTCTCCAATGTCGGATTCAACGCCACACAAGATGATAACCAGAGGTATACCCACCAAAATTCTCAATTTTGATGGGTCCTCTTTCTCGTTGCAAATAACTCAAGCGGAGTCAGATTTTGCAGGTTTATCAGCAACTACAGTTTCAGAGAGAAGAACTAAATTACACAATGACAAGTCGAAAGAAGTCCAAGTTGAGAAATCTTCAAAAGAAATAAAAAATCCAGTTGCTTCAAAGAGGAAAAAAACCTATGAATGATTCTTCATGTGTCAATGTAAAGGAAGTTGCTGCAAAAAAAATATCAGATACACGACACGAAAAGGTAATTGCTATTTTATCAATATGCATTCAAAGAAACTTATATGTATTCATAATTATTCAAGTTATTTTACATGTATGATGTTGTATTTGTATGTATCTGGTTGTATTTAAATATATTTAGTTTTATTCAATTTCACATTTTTGTACTATTTGGTATGAATGTATTCAGTTGTATTTATATATATGTATATGTATTCTTATGTATTTTGACAGTTCTATTCTTAATGATTTTCAAGGTTCCCACACTGTTGTATTTTGAAGCAACTATTTATTTTTCAATGTATTTTTTTTTTTTTGCAACTGTTCAATTTTCCAGTAAGTTTTTAATTGTATTCATATGTATTCAGCTTAGTTATTTTTTATGTCATGTGTGTTGTATCTAGTTTTTTAATATGTATTTAGCCTTGTCAGTGTATTTAGTTGTATTCGTATGTATTCATGTCAGATGTACTGTAATATATTCTGTGTATTTAGTTATATCTATACTTCTAAGTGTTTGTAGTTGTATTCATATGTATTCATGTCAGATTTACTATGAAATATGCATTGTATTCAATTGTATTTACATGTATTTATTCTTGTTAAATGCAGGGAATTAAGTTTTTTATGAAACACCAGCCAAAATTTGCACCCCATATCAGTGTTTATACTAACACTGATATTGATCACGCCCAAATATGCCTTATAAAAAGGACAATGCGGTCGCTGCAAATATAATCCGGTTTACAAGTCCGGAGTCGAATCCCACAGAGAACTAAGGTTTAGCTACAACTGTTCACTATCACCAAGAAGACAGGCTTGAACAATTCCTAACTTATAGATATTAAGATTCTTGTGTTTAACTACTTAACTAACAAATTAAAATAGTAAATTAACAACTAACGATACTGAGGGTTAGAGAAAAGATTAAGGAGGTCTAGAGTTATGATTTCCCCAATTGTCGGAATCCTTCCTGCTATGTCTTTTATAATTTCGCCTAAGTATTCTCTACCGATCATGAGCACTCTTATTACTGTAAACCTCTCCCGAGTAATTACGATAATTTACTAGACGCACTCTCCCGAGCTACGCTAGCTAGCTTTTAATACAGCTCGCTTCAGATCGCACTCAAGGCTTCGTTATCCCTAATCCCACCTTTAAACCCTCGGTTATTGATCCCTGATCTACTCTGGGAGTGGTGTTGTTCAATAATTACCTAAATATGCACTCTCTCCCGAGTTATGCATACTAAATAGGCACAGCTAATTGAGAGTTCTTCAACCAACCACAATATAAACGTAGTTGAACAAATAGAGAAAAGCTATGGCTCAATTATCTAAAAACATAACAAGAATTTATCCTACAAAAGGTTCTATCAAACTCTAGATAACAAATTAGCTATTCATAATAGTATGTAAAACTACAATACTAAAAGTCATAACCAACAATGAAAAATAGGAAGAGGAAGGAAAAACTCGTAGAAGAATTCTCCGCCTTGCTCCCAATATGTTCTTGCCTCCTTAGGTCGAATCTATGTCCAAAATATGTCCCCCTCTTGTTCTTGGCCGGCCTCCTTTGTTTAATATAGGGTTTAGGACTTAAGGGCTCTTTACCAGTATCATAGCCGGGAGAATGAAAGCATTAGTGGGAAGATCTTTTGTTCGATCTGCCTTGGGTGGGGCGATGAAAAAAGTTTAATCCCATGTTTTGCACTTTAGTCCCTGAAATTTTCGCTTCCTGCCGCGGTCTCACCGCTGTCGCGGTCAAACCGCGGCCAAACATACTCTCTGATTCTTCAGTTGTCCCCGAGTACACTCTGTCGCGGTTCTGCCGCAATTCCACCGTAATCACGGTATTTCATCCTCTTCCGTTTGGAATTTGGAAAAACGTAAAACATGAAAGTTGTAGCCCTTTGAGTTATCTTTCCAACCATATATTGTGGGGCCCAAATGGAGTTCTGAGAAAAAAGTTATATCTATTTTACTAGACAGTGCGCAATATGCCTCCTCGAGTCTTCATTCGTACTTAATTATCAAATTTGACCCCCAAACATGATCCCGGCTTAATTCCTTGAACTATTACTCAAACTTTAAAGCTCCAAATCACTTAAATGCATTCCATAACATCTATATAGCTCGGAATCACACCTACAAGGCATAAAACACACAATTAGTGCAAAACACTAGCGATTAAAGCTCAAACTCAATTAAAGTGCAGTAAACTCGAGTGTAATAATCGACTAAAATACGTAATTATAGACTATCATCAACACCCCACACTTAAGCTGTTGCTCGTCCTCGAGCAATCAAACTACACTTTTTTTTATAGACACGACCTTTTTAAACAATTCTCCTAACGCAGCACACCAAGAGTATTTAAAATAGACTAAGCACAAAAGCTTAACATCTTCACCTCAAGATTTGACTCACAAGTACCACACATTATTCACAACTCACCCACTTACTCTAATATAGAGGTGACTGACATTACCTTTCCTTCATGAATCAAGTGCCCTCACACAACAAAAAAAGAGTAGTTCCACACAATAAAATTTAAGAACACTTAGGAACTCAAGATAGAAAGAATTCACTCACTCTCAGAAATAACATTCATATGCCACAAAAGATGCACCATAAGCTTGCCCATAGTGTACTACTCCACTAATCGATCTCATTCAATCTAGGATCAATTAGGACTTTATTTGGTTGTAATGTAGGCTACGGGACGGGTAGGATATATTTAGATATAAGAGTGACTACACCTCCCTAAGCACTTTAATACATATACTTTAACATTCAAACCCAATACTTATGTCAAACCAAAACTCCACCTTCACATCAATGCATATTACCCCATTCTTCTTTAAGCACACTTACCTCAAAAGCCACCACTTATCAAGGATTTTTTTTTTCCACAACAATCCAACTATATTTTTTTTTCAATTCAAGTGGCTCTTCCTTTTTCAAAACAGTGTACCTTTCTCCTTATTCAATTAGTTCCACTCAAAAGCCAAACCAACCACCCCACACTTTAACTTTTACAAAGTTCATAACAATTCAAGTGCTCATGAGAGGTGAAAAGGTTCAAATAGATGGTTAATTCAAACAAATGGGTTAGGCTTGTAATGTGGTTGCCAAAGAAAAAGGATTATAGGCTCAAAGAGGTTAAGTACGATACATAACAATTAGGTGGGTAAAATATACATATCTGGCTCAACAAGAAAACGCCTATATCACTTCCAAGACTGAACAACACTACTATTTCGCTTTGCAAACACACGGGGCAAGTTCTAGGCATCAAATGCACTGCACAGAATAACACCTAAACCTCACACACACATGGCACATAACTCACTCAGGATTAGATTCATCAAGACACTCTAGTCAAAGCAGTTAAGCAAAGTTAAAATCATACAATTTAAGGTACTTATGCAAGAGTCAAAAACTGAGCCTAAGCGTCACAGCCAAAGTACTCACTATTCTCAAGGCATAACAAAGTCAAGAGATATTGCTTCATTTCAAAACAAAACACAATGGATCCTATTCCCAAAAAAAAAACTAACTACACCCGGTTCAAATAAAACCTTTGGAAAAGAACCGTGGCCCAAAGAAAAACCAAGGGGGAGTTACTACACTACCCAAAACAAAACAAAAAATCTTTTTGGTATTTTCTTTAGACTTACTTCCCTCAAGAAAACTGTCTAGAAGATCCGTCATCAGGAAAAGTCCAATCTTTTAAAAAAATTATTTAATTAAACGAACACAGCTAAAGTAGCATGAAAAGTCACCCAGACAATCTCCTCACCCCACACTTAAAATTGTGCATTGTCCCCAATGCACACCCATACATACAAGAGGGTAAAAGAAACTCCCTAGTAGGCCAAAGGCCGAAGCACTAGCAGTTCATGG